CTTCAAATATAGAGACAACATTGACTTCCTGACGGCCATGTCATGTGTTAAGGGTAAGTAAGGCCTACCGCTCTAAGTGAAAGTTTGAATTGTGGAGTTCATCTGGGCAAGCACTGACCAGTGCGTGGATGGACTGCTACTTTCAAATGTGAGTGGCAGACATATAAAATTTCTAGAAGAGTCACTTCTTATGAAACACTTATAGTATTATAGAACCAGCACTTCTTATAGAACCAATCATGTCCCCATCGACTTCCCCATACTGAACCTGCTACTGCATGGTTTGCTGTCGCACAATTTCTACAAATATAAGTCATGTCATGTGTCCTTCACAACTTGCCCAGCTACTTGCCCACAAGCTCCCCTAGTTTGGTCAAATGCAGTTGCCAATCAACAGAGTCAGAGAAGCCGCTCCTGACACAGAGTGCGCTGCATCATGTCATGGAACTTGGTTTGCCACTTTAAATACGAACCTGGAAAACCCTTCAACTATATAACGCCGGGAGACAAAACACTTGTTTTTTTTGTTTTGCGTGTGTGTGCGAGTGGCGGCGCTGGTCCTCAAATGCTCACGAATCAAATGCCTCATCATTTTGATCATGCATCCAAAAGCTTCCGAAGCTTCATCTTTCCACCGGCTCGTGGTCCACGCACACCCTGGATAGCGGGATGACCAGAATGAGTTGGAGGGGTGCCGATAGATGCCTGAGTGAATGACAGCAGGTAGCAACGTGTAGGGGAACCCATGTTCCTCTTGAAGCTTTTCCAGCTTCTGCCATTCAGCGCTGAGGTGGTATTGTTTCCGCCGTGCTAGGCGGTCCTGCCTCCCATCGAGTGACTGAGCAGGAGTGCCCCCGGTTCCCTCCAGTTGAGCATCCTCCTCATCCAAATTTTGACATAGGTCCAACTCTTCTGAGTTGGCTTCGCTGGCACTGCTGTCAAGATCATCGTCATCAGCAGCATCCTCTCCATCAGACAACCGATTCCGTTCAACTCGCTCGGGATGTTCTGGCTCGCTGTCCACCTCGTCAGCCAAGTCTGGATCCACCTCGTTCTCCTGGTTGTCTCCCTCCTCTTCCTCTTCATCGTCACCTTCAAATTGATGGCGCAAGTCATCAGCTCAAAACCCACACCACCATGACATGGCAACTGCTGCATTTGATCTCCTAAATATAGGAAAACAGTAATGGTAAACGCGCGACATACAAAGCATCACAAAGACAGGCCTTCATCGTAAGCGCCCCTGAGGAGATCCAAGCCTGAAGCATCTGGCTGCCCCACACAAGTGATGTACCGGATCTCCTTCCGCACTAAATTCCAGCCTTGCACCTTACATGGGTTAAGTACATGTCATGTTACTATGCCCGAAATCATGGAACTATGGCTACCAATGCTGCTGCAATAACTGATGCTTCGTAGCGCCATGTCATATACTAGTCGTATACTATGTTCATGGGAGGGCTGTCCTTCCGAGCATAGTTGTCTCCTTCGATGTAGTACCTCCCTTTGCCAGACAACTTCCCTTCTTCCTCCTCGAGCAAGGAAAAGTCAACCACCAATTTTTCCAGGTGCTTTCCTGCTTTCTGCACTTCCTTCGGGTTCATGACACGGTGGCTACGGCGGTTGTAGACTATCTGCATTTTCCGCTGGTTGACCTGGAGCAGCTTGTCCTTCCAACCATCAGGTGTCTTCTGAACCATCATCTTGCGATCCTTGCGATGCTGACAAACGAGTCGTTCCACGGAATCAGCGATCACTGGCGGCAAGAAAGCCGGTCTTCCATCATCACCAATCACAGCCCAGCGAAGCTTGGCAGCTTCGGGCAGTTCCAAAGTGCTCCCTGCTACTCCAGCGGCCCTGAGCATGCCAGATGGATCCAAGATGTCGATGGCCTGGTTCTGTGTCATGTGCGGAAACTCCGGAAAATGATTGTCCTCAAAGTAGCCACAAGCTTTCCAAGCAGCAGCAAAGCAACTGGCCGGCCTTAGTTGCAAGAATTCAAGCCGGACACATAAACATGCCATCCATGAGTGGAGCATCCTAAAGAGCCAACGCGGAGGCCTGCGTGCAGACCCGACATCCTACACCCCACACTGCCATGTCATGTAGCACCTACAAGGTTTCAAACCTGCAGTTCTACGCTGATGTAGACAAGCCATGTCATCGGGCACATGAACAGTATCACTAGCTTGGGGTGACCTCTTAAACTCTTAAAGGTTTGGATCAAACACCGTTACTAAGCAGGCTTGCAAAAAGAGGGCTTTGTTTGTGGACACCAACCAAGTCCAAGTCCTGTTTCTCTCTGAGGGCCCAACATACTCTCCCATGCCTTTAGCGTTCTCTCTGGCAGACTCGCTGTGTTGACGCTTCTGGCAACTTGTCCATTGGGTTTCACTGCCATCTGGTCGTACTTGGCGCGCTTAAACAAATTGGCCTCGCAGCCAGCGTCTGCAGCATCTGTCGCGTCCAACTTGCATCTTAAGATGTGATGTATTTGATCCACCGGTTGGCAGGACGCGCTCCAACCGCCAACCTGGAGGTCCGGCAGCCGAACGTGGTTGGCCTGAGCCCAAGCTTCCCGGCTCACATTAAGGCCGGAGCTCCATGAGTGGTACCCCGTCCACCCGTCTGCCAGAATCAGGCCTTCGGTCTCGCTGGACAACTTGTGACGCCGTCTTTGCAGCGAGAAGCCATCTGATAACATCTCTCGCATCATGATGATAAAGCTTTCCCCATCCATAAAATGGGATTTCTTTTCAGAGCAAAAAAGCAGCGCGCGACCTTTGTTGCGGAGATTGAACTCCTCAACCTGCTTGGCTTTGATCATCCCTCTGGGGTAGCACAGGCCTAGAGGGCCAGCTGTTCCGTCACTCCATGAACTCGTCACGGCAGTGATGCTAAGCCGTGATCCAGCGAAATGATCATGCCTCGCAATGAGGCCTCCCTTCTCCTTGGGAACTCTTAGACTGGCTTTTTTCATGTACACGCCCTTTTGCAGTCTCAGATTCGCTCTCCACACCTGATCAATGTTCAAAATGAGAAAGCGATGGACACCGTTGGATATATGTTCATGGAGGCGCAAGTGAGATGCCCGTAACCGTGGGTCACCCCACTCTAGGAAGTTCCCAGATGTGTTCAGAGCTCTTTTTGTGTAGGAGAACAGCTTCAAGAAGTTCCTGGCAGATCGCCCTTTCATCAGCGGAACTTCCTTGGGCACGGGAAGGAGGCAACGCTGAATCACCGAGTGGGTTGCACCGATGTTGATGAGTGCCTGCTGTGTCTCAATATTGTGCAAATCCACTTTGCGCTTCGCATCATCCAGGTTGCTGTTGTATTCCCTGATCAACTGGTTGGCAGTGACCACCTCAAACGGCAGACCCAGACTGCCATGTCATGTGGTACCGTAAGCACATTCACAAGTAAAAGCATGATATACACCCCACACTGTTGCAGAGAGGGGGAGAGAGTTCTCCCACTGTCATGTCATGTAGCGCCTAAGCAGTCTCACATTTACAGGAAGAGTTAGC